CTCCCCCGAGGTGTGACAACCAAACACATCTCCAGACATTGTCAAATGGCCCCTGGAAGACAAAATTCATCCACTGTTGAAAACTACTACTTTAGACTGACAACCAAAGACCTCTATTAAATGTTAATTCCTCAAATTCCTCCAATCCTTTCTCTATTCTAAAATCCCTTCTGCCAGATTCTATCAAGAGCATGCAGTGCTTATTTTGCGTATTTCCTTTATCCAGCTCAAAGTGCCCTTCCTCTCATACTCTTCCCGTCTATTTATTCCTAGATACAGCCAACCACAGCAGGAAGACTTCTATGATTAATTTTATAACTTCATTTCATCACTGCATTTTGTTGAGATCTTTTTTTCTCAGCATCATTCCTGGTCTTTCTTTCTCTGCCTATGGCTTAAATGCTGATGTTCTTCAGGGTTCTGGCTGCAGTCTTCATTTTGACTTAGTCTATATTCTAGCAGGATGAGGTCTTCTATTCCTTTCTCTTCACTTTTTGTAACAATGACCACCATCACCCCTGCTCCAAATCTGTATCTCCAAGATGAACTACCTCCTGAACTGTTAACTAGTTTTTCCAGCTAATAACAAGACCCCTGCAGAAGAGCCTATAGATCCTTCCAAGTCAATAGGTCCAAAAAAAGTTTATTTTCTTTTCTGACCAAACATTTCCTCCAATCTTCTTTTCTTAATGAATTGCATTATGATGCATCCAAATGCCAAAAACAGGAACCTCAGACTCTCTCTTACCTATTTCAAATAACCTGTCTCCAAATCTGTTCCTTCTTCCTTCTCCCCATTGCTCTAACCCAGACCAAGCCTATTCTATTGAAGTATCTGGTCACCTTGCCTCCAGCCTGTCCTTTCTCAGGTCTAGCTTCACCTTTTCTCCCCCTTTAAATCACCACCCTGCCCATAGGTCTTTGACAGCTTCCCACTGCCTATTATCTAAACTCTGTAGAATGTTACGTAGAACCTTCAGATCCAGGCCATGCCATTCCTTCCTCATTCATCATTCACCAACATTTTCCATGTGTCTCCCAGGCTCCAGTGAGAAAACTGAACCCACACTATGTGTTTCAACGGAGAGAGAGAATTTACTAAGGGGAATGGTTAAACAGGTGCTTTAGAATTTAAACATGAGAAGAGGACACTGAAATAACACAGAGATAGTAACTGTGTAAGTAGGGAGCAGTTATCTCTCGGGCTGAGGAATTACAGGAAAGAGGATGGGGTTATTAGAAACTAACAGTCTGCGTATGGACACCAAGGGGGGAAAGCAGTGGGGGGGGTACCGCAGGGGGGTGGTGGGATGAATTGGGAGATTGGGATTGACATATATACACTAATATGTACAAAATAGATAACTAATAAGAACCTGCTGTATAATAAATAAATAAAATTTAAAAAGGAAAACAAAACAACAACCACAAAAGACCTCATGGATAATCCTCTCACTTCTATCTATAAGTGATTTATCAATAAATAACCACTGATTAATGATTAAAAAGAGAAAGAAACTAACAGTTTGGAGGAGAGACCCCACAGATGTGGGACCTGTACCTCTTAGGAGGGGTAATACCTGGCTACTGCTATTACCTCTGAAATGCTAGGCAGGGGCCCCTTGGAGCTGGGGCTCAAACCTCTAGAGAAGGAATGCTGCCAGGTTAGTGTAGAAACCTCTAAGGGTGAGATTGAAACTGGTTCTGAAAAGGCTGAGCCCCAGAACCAACTGCTGCTTTTGGGATGTAGGGCCATTGGTGGGGCAATACTCTTAGGAAGAGCCATGAATCAGGAAAAGGGAAATCTCTGCTTCCTTCCTCCTACCTTCTCTGTTCCCTCTAGTGCGCCCTGTTGGCAGAAACCAGGAGACAGCTTGCAGGGTTTCAGCCTCAACACCAGAAGGAAAGGTGGATTTAGAGTTGAGAGACAAGTGGTTAATAACCAGCACAATGTATTTTCACGTCTTCTTGCCTTTACTGATACAGTTTCCCCACCCATAATGTTCTTTCTACCAATATCTGCCTGATGCATGTCATTGTTCAAATACAATCTCCTTTCTATAGTCTTCTCTAGTCTTCCCCCAAATAATTATTTATACCAGCATCTGAGTTCCCCTAACAGTTGGCAAATACTTCCTTTATAGTATTTTTTTAATATTGTATCATAATTACTTCTGTGTATGTTCATTTGTTTGTTTTCTGCAAAACTGTGAGCTCCTTTAGAGCAGGCAGAGTTACAACCAGACAGTCTAGCAGGGCACCTGGCACACAGCAGATGTTGATCGAGCTGGATGGAAATGATAAAAGCATTTTAATGAAATTAATATTAGATTATTTCTTGTATATATTTTATCTTCCCAACCAGATGTGAACCTTATAAGAGCAGAGATCATGGTTTCTATTTCTTTTATTTTTTTCATGGTGGTCAGTACAAGGTTTCATATGCTGAAGAAGAGCTCAGTGATATTTGTTAACCCCCTAGTTTATTCATTAAGCACCACAAATTTGATTCAAAATGACATGAAGGTGGAGCATAAGTTTATGAATAGCAGGTAAGATTTGTAGTTAGGTTTAGATGTACTTCTAGCACATGATTCCAACAGAGAGATCGGTGCATATGGTAAAGTTCTGTATTTGTTGAATAGCACAATCAAGAGACCAAATGTAGTGTGTCTTAAAGTGAACTCTAGAGTAATTAAATATATTCCAGGTTTCATTTTTTCTGCTTATCTCTTACAGAAAACATATTACCCCAACTGATGTGATTATTAATCCTGGGTTACATCTGGTCCTTGAATATTTATTAAATTTCTCACAGTCATCAACATCAAGTAGTAGATTATTTAAATGTAGGAAAGGTATTGAATTTTAACTTAATCACAAGCTTCTTGAAAAAAAGAAACCTCTGTTCAACAACTGATTTACATTCAGGTCCAAGAAGAAGAAAAATAGCTTTTTTTTTTTCTTAAGGGGAGTGATATTTAATTAACTATCGATTCCTTCTCAATTATTCAAGGCAAGCAATTATCGATATTGATGGAAACAATACTTCCCTATGTGTAGTGCCCAAATGAAAGGAAATATCCCATTCAGCTATCTGCTGCCTGGAACAAGAAATGCTGAGAATCTTTAACTTTAAATGGAAACAGTTATTTGGATCTGTTTATTCCATGTTGCCCCAATTAAACAGATATTTCCTAAAGTGTAAGCAAAACAAAATCCTGAAAACCTATGTATGCTTTCCAAATGAACAACCACCAAAAAAAGAGGCTTTTTGTCAGTTTTGACCATGAATTTAACCACTCTACCCTCGTACACTTTGCCTCAAAGCTACAGATCTTGACATTTTAAACCATGACTCATGAAATACTATAATTTGGGTCTAATATTCATGGTTTCTAAGCCACCCAATGAGAAGTAGCTTACATAATCATTAGAACCCCTGGAACACTACCTTGTATATCAATATTTTGAGCCTGAAGGATTTATAGGCCTTAATAGTCACTTCTAACATTTACAGATAGCAAATGTGGGTACATTTGTTAATTATACCAATCCATTATGCAACTATATTAGAGGTCGCCAAGGAATTGTTGTGGAAGGTGGGAAAATAGGGCCCTGTTTAGAGCACTTTGTTATTAACCCTGTGAGCATCCACCACCATCTTTTTTCAGCTCATTTGCACACAGAGCATTAGCACGTTTGCATTTAAGAAGCTTCTTTTGAAGGTGACATACTATTGAACATAATTAATGGACAAGGCAATATTCTCTATTGAATTATTACTTGGGAGATGAGGGTTTTTTAAATACTTTACACTTGATAGTAATAGTATGTGTGTGTGTGTGTGTGTGTGTTTAATTCATGTGGTATCCCTGGGGAAATTTGACTATGACATTTTTAAAAAATGAAGAATGTTATAATTTATAAGAAGCTACTTTTTCTGCTCTGTGCCCTGCCCCCCCCACCCCTTCCAGAGTGGTTCTAGATATTAAGTGCTTAAGCAGCATATGTTGCTGGGAAGTGTTCTTGGCTTTTTTGCTCTTTGGTGTTGTTTTAATTTCTCTGTGTTCTATTTATCATTCTGCTAAATCAGTGAAACCTTGATTATCTAAAATAATAGAAGACATTGAATTAATGAGGATAACTAGTTTTTTGAATGAATAAGAAATGATTAGAGATGCAAGTTACATGACAGGGACTGTGAATGAATTTTAGTATCTGAAATTGCTTGCTTGATTTATTCCAACTGATTCTGTAAATTGATGGACACAGTGAAATTTTGATAATCAGGGTTTCACCATTGCATTTATTATTATTCCTGGAAATCAAGGTAACCTTGGACTCTACTTGCTATATTTACAAGGCAATAAATATCCTAATAGGCTATTAGGGGCAGATGGGACTGCTCTTCCTCACATTCCTCCCATGAAAAGCTTTCTCTCTTCGGATCTGCCTGTTGCCTCACCGGGAGCATGCTGCCTGCCCCCTGCCCTGTGCTTGTCCGTGGGTTCCTCCTGCCTTCCTGCATGCAGCCCTGGAATCACCTGCAGGGAGAATGGCCCACCCCTTAGAGGTTCTCGGTCATTTTAGCAATACTGCTTTGCATTTTAATTCCATTCATCTGGCCTCAAAGTTCTGCATTCTTGTATCAGGCACTATCCTTGAAACACCCTGGAGGTCACAACAGGTCCCAGTTCCATGAAGAGAAGATACTGCCAAACCAGGAGTATCACATTGCTTTGTATTTGATAGCCTGAAATGGACAATGATAATATCCAAGATTGCAGCAAAAATCTATATGAAAAGAATTAATATGATCAAAACAAAGGCAGCAGACTACATTTGTTTGGAAATTGGAGTCACATGCTTAGTTTGCGGAGGGGAGGGGGGAGCACAAGATCGATAAGAGAGTTTTTTAAAGCTGAAAACATGATGTAGCAGATGAACTTAAATTGATTCTGCTTCTCCTCCCCGCGCCCCCCTCCCTCGTTCTGCAGCGAATGTCTGCGACAACGAGCTCCTGCACTGCCAGAACGGAGGGACGTGCCACAACAACGTGCGCTGCCTGTGCCCCGCCGCGTACACGGGCATCCTGTGCGAGAAGCTGCGGTGTGAGGAATCGGGCAGCTGCGGCTCCGACTCGGGCCAGGGCGCGCCCTCGCGCGGCTCCCCCGCGCTGCTGCTGCCGCTGGCCGCTCTGCTGGGGACAGCCGGCCCCCTGGCGATCTAGGCGGCGCATCCAGCCACCAGATGGGTCCGGCCGTGGGGAAGCAAACACAGCCCCAGCATTTGCTACTAACATAGGAAACCCACCCTCAGACCCCCCCACTCAAACACAGTGTACAAACTAAGAAGGCCCAACTGAACTAAGCCATATATAACAGCCGTGGACAGCACACCGGAGTCAAGACTGGTAATTTCTGACTCCAGAGGCGTTGGCAGCTGTTGATAGTATCCCTGCAAATCACATTGCCCGCTGCAGAGCTTATCGCCGATTGGAAAGGCTGTGACAGCCCCCCGAAAGGAACGACAGAAAAACAACAGCAAATCAACCAACCTGAAAACATTGGCTACTCGTACGTGGTGTGCCCCACGCACCACCCGGCCCCGTGTGTGAACCAGCCAAACTGAAGCATCCTTTGCTGGCAGTGCATTGTGGGTCTAAGGAAGTGTGTTACAAGCTGCCATATTGGCCTGCTTCGGTCCCTGAACCCCTTCCAACCTGTGCTTTGGTGAACGTTGCTCTGTAACCCTCGTTGGTTGAAAGATTTCTTTGTCTGGTGTTAGTAATGCACATGTGTAACAGCCCCCCTTCAAAAGCTCAAGCCAGTCGTACCCCGTATATCTTAGCAGCACTGGGTCCACCCAGTGCTAGCACACATCCACTGTCCAAGAGTGGCTGTAGGAAAAAAGAGAAAGTGTATCTATCCTTTTGTATTCAAATGAAGTTATTTTTCTTGAAATACTGTAATATGTAGATTTTTTGTATTCTTGCCAATTTGTGTTACCAGACAATCTGTTAATGTATCTAATTCAAATCAGCAAAGACTGACATTTTATTTTGTCCTCTTTCCTTCTGTTTTGTTTCATTGTGCAGAGATTTCTCTGTAAGGGCAACGAACTTGCTGGCATCAAAGAATATCAGTTTACATATATAACAAGTGTAATAAGATTCCACCAAAGGACATTCTAAGTGTTTTCTTGTTGCTTTAACACTGGAAGATTTAAAGAATAAAAATTCCCGCATAAACGATTTCAGGAATTTGTATTGCGATTTCTTAAGATGAAAGGAGCAGCCACCAAGCAGATTCACACTCGCTTTACTGATTTCTGTGTGGACTGAATACACTCAGCTGATGAATTTAGTAACCAGAAAGGTGGATTGGTGTTCACTAGCTTGGACAACTTCTGCAGAATATGAGACTATTTCTACTTGGGAAAAATTATAACAGAAAAAAAAAAATCTAAGTGATTGCCAAGATTAGGCCAAAGCCTGTTGGCAGAGTACTAAGAGACTTTTATTTTTAAGTCATGCTATTTTCACAGATTGATGTGATCATGTGACTCTAGGGATGTTGATCTATGTATCTTTCCAATTACAGTGTTTACATGGAGTATCATAAGAGGCAACCTGGGGAACCAGGAAAGTCGCAGGGAAATTGAGTGATTAGCAATTTGACTTTGAATATATTCAGACTAAGTATTTACAGAAATATCAAAATATACAGCAGCAAGTAGACATAACTGCTGTTCCTGAGAATAAAGTTTGTTTTAAGTACTGCCCAAGGTGTAATCAATTCTTGTTTCTGCCTTTTATTAGGCCAATTACTGTGCAAAACAGCAAGGCAGGGAGAGGAGGGGAGAAGCACTGCAAAGTTTCAAAGTGACTAAAACAGTGTGTATTCCATTCCCAGCACACTGTTGTCCTACAGGTTACAAATGTGTTCGCAGCAGCATCTTCTGGCATCAAAAACAATTAACAGACCAAGCCAGAGTCTGAAGGACAGCGAAGTCTTACATGACTTGGTAGAGCAATAGCCTATGATGGTGTTAGGTCAGAAGCCCACTTCCAGTCTGAATTCTTCACCCTCCTGCCACTCTTTGCTGAAATTGGGGTAGGGGGAGTCTTCTGATAAATATCCTCGGTAAACACTAGACTAAGGAACAGCGTGTCTTATTGGTTTTGTTCCCAGAAAAACCAATTCAAAGAAGGCAATAAAAGGTAAACAGGTAACGCCTGTGCTGCCTGCCATCCCACGTCTAAGTCGATTGAATGTTTGTTATTCAAACCCACAGTCTCTTTTGATGTAAGAAATAAGAAAAGATAGAAATAAATTAGAGCTCTGGCTTAGTGCCGGCGTGGCCAACCAGAAACTGGAGATTTACATTAGAAGCATAAACAGCAAATTATATTTCAGGCTCACCAAAGACTACACGTGAAAATGCCGATAACATACAGTTTGAGATTACTTATAATGAGGTGGATTTCTAATATTAAAATTGGAGTTGTCTTATAGTTTATTAGCACAAACCAAAGGTAGACTGTGTTATTTCCAGCAATGATGCACTTTATCATTACCCACTCATGGTTTTGTCCCTATGCTCAGGAATCAGACTGCACATTTCAATACATGGTATTTGAAAGCTAATTCTAACATTTAATGAAGGCCTGATCTAAATGAATTCATCTGCCTTTTATCTTTATGAAGCTATAAGAATCTAAATTAATGAGGCATATCTTGCATTCAGTGTATTTATATATAGTTTTCTGAATTTCCTAAAGTGATGTGACCTGCTTTTAATAAATTCACTTTTAGGTATATAACAAATGGAAATGAAATGTTCTTTTTAATCTGGATTCTCAAATTCTTCTAAAGGGTGTATTACTTTGGTGAAACCCCAAATCAGTAGATTTTATTCATCTGCTGTTTTGTAGCATTCTTGCAAAGCTGGTTCCATCTACAATATTATGTCTAAGGACAGGATTGGGGTGAAAAGTGGATACTAAGTTGTTCACATATTTAAGGTTCTAATTCTTGCTTTGTCTCTACTTGGATTAGCCCTTAGGATTGGTTAATCTATCAACTTTACCACAAATACAATTTCTTCCATCAACACTTCTGATGAACATAAAACTTCAAAGAAATCTTCGTCCCAAGGTTCAGCTATATAGAAAGTGTTGGTATTTATAGGAACGTAATTAGACTGCCCTGTGATGATGTGGGATTGATTCATTTCTGAGCCTGGGCACAGGGTAGAGGGGGAACTTTAGTCCCAGAAAGGAGCAGCCCTTGCTTAGTGGGGCCCATTCTGACCCTCCTCCCATTTTGTCTCAGTAGCCAGGAACCTAGAATTCTGTCCTCCACCTACTTTTAGGGTATATACGCCTCTTCTGAGGGTCCAAACTCCTGAAGGCAGGCAGCATAATGAGTGCACATCCTTGAGTGCAAGAGGTGGCAAAGGGTGAATATGTATGCATAGATGAGTGACTTGGGCCTGGGAGTATATGCTGGGGAATTCACACGCGAGTGAGAAGAGGCTCCTTGAAGTGAAACCCAGAGCTCAGGGATAGAAAAGAAGGGGCTAAGGGGTGGGAGAGAGAGTAGGGCTGCCTTAGGGCCAGGGTCCAGTACAGAACTCTGAGCAGTCTAAAAGATTCTAAACCTATACCTGGGTTTCCGATTGTTATGAAGGTATTTGTGTTAAAACAGCAGAATGGAACATAGTGTTATTTAACACTATGTTAGCTTGATGTATAACTTTTAAATATTTAGACATGTGGCCTATGGGCTTCCATTGGTACTTTTGTCCTGGCCCCTGCCTGGTGGGTCTGCCTGGAGATGAACACTGCATGAGGTGCCCTTGAGTCAAATGACTAAATGGGTCAAATCACTTACCCAGGTACAGGGTTGGGAGAAGGCATACCGGTCACAGTTCAACAATTCCTATAGTTAATGCTCCACTTCACTTTTTCTCCAACCTGTGGCCTTACTGAATATAAGAACGTTTGGAGGGACTGGGGGCAGCTGTGAGGAAACCCTGAAATCAGATCTTTTGTCCCATCATCTTCACTCTCCGCCATCAATAATCCAGTATTTTGGGGATGTAAGGACCCCATATTCTGAGATGGGATGCTCTGTGTTATACGGGAAATGGGTTGTTGCACTTCACCTGTTGTTAAATACTAAATAAAATACCTATTTAACAGTTTATCTGCTCAGAGAGTTACACGGAATATGTGAGAACTTTGAACTACATGTTCTATATATTTGTTATGCATTGAATTCTATCTGTTTATGATCTGATGCAATTTAGAACTTCAGCTTCTGAACTAGAATTTCTTACCCACCATTTTGATTCCCAGTCTTTACCAAGAAAGATGACAATGGTGACAGCCACTAAGCTGCATCTTAGAACAATCTGAATAACTAGGTAAAACTCTAGGATTTTTTTTTTTTTTTTTAGAAGATCTAATTGGACACCCTTAATGGCATATAGGAATGAAAAACACAGATAAGGAACATCCCTAGAGTGTGGATCCAAATATGTGGTTGTGAAAATTTCTTTCTTTGCCTCAGGAAATCAGGACTAGATTCTATTCAATTTTCTTTCCAAGAAATATCAAATGTCCACTTGGTATAAATATTCTGACAGTTCTGACCATTTCCATATGGAAGAATTTTTTACTTTTAACTATGTTTTCCCTTTTTTTACACTAAAAGTAGCTTTTTCCTTTAGTTACCTAAAACAGTTGCCAATAAATTCTCAGCATAAACTGCACATAAACATAATGTCAGAAAGAGTTAAGAATGCCAGTTATCATATTTTGAAGTTTCACCAACAATCTTGGGAACATGGAGAATTTTTATTCTTTACAACACCTGGTAAGGTGTGACTCACATATTATCATCTTCATTTTGCATCTGAAGAATCAAATAACTAAGAAACAGACATATCCCTTGTATAAATCATGTTATTGCGTTTAACTAGAAAAGAGAAAATAACATCTGGGAAAACTTTATATTAATATTGAAAAATGCAGTTATTTGAAATCTATTATGGCAGAAAAATTCTACCCCTAATACATTTTTAGAGTAGGTCCTGGAATATGTCTACCAAGAAGACTTAAATGATTTTAGGGGGTGTTGTTTAGATTAATACAGTTGAGCATTTAACTATTGCTGGAATCCCCTCTCTGCCTTTTCCCATCACCCAAGAGCTCTTTTTAATTGACGATTGAATTAAAATGGAGTAGTAACATTTAAAATTATGTGATGTTTTTATTAACCTGAAATGATAGCTGGTAAAATGGGCCATTATTCTGCAAGACCTAATTATGTTAACACTAAAGATTTAGCTAGGCTGGCTGGAGCAAACTGCCGCGAATTGGAAGTAAAAAATAGTATCATTTTCTTAACCTAGTCTCATTTTTTCAGAGGTGTCGCTTTTAACTATTATTTAATTAGTGAACTATGAAATCTATGGGAAAAAGAACCTGACTGGAAGAGAGAAAAATAATAATTACTACCCCTCCTACATCTGCCTGAGTAGATGCCAAAATCCCTGTGTGGTGAGAATGTGTCATTATGTTAAAGACACAGTGTACCATGGTGTGTATCCTCTAGCCATCCTGCCCTGAGAGTACCACATAACAGCTTTGCTCTTACCGGGGGAAGTCATTCAAATCTAATAAAAGAAAGAAAATGGCAGAAAATCACACACCGGAAGTCCTGTTAAGAATAGGTGATTCTTTTTGACCCAGACAGGAAAGAACACAATGTCATCTTTGTTTATTTGTATTTTGCTCTGAAGGAGGGGTCACTCCTGTAGGGGTATGATTTTCCCTTTACCCATGTGAAACATGGCAAGAAAACATTCTCCAAGGAAATAGCATTTTGCTATTTACCAGTCGTGCCTACCCCATGAAGCCCTTAGTAATCGTTTTGGCTTTCATGGTGTGATAAACACCTAAAGGCAAGAGATTAGTGGCATCACTCTTCGTCTCTTTTTCTCTCCCTTTGGAAAAAAAAAAAAAAAATGGGTCCAAATATAGAATGATGCCATTTGCAAGAATCCTTCAGTTAGTTGATGCCTAATTATGAAGACTCCAGCTAAATATTTAGTTTATTAAATTAATAGTGTGGCAAGTATTGCAGCAGCTTTACAACCACTTAAACTTGTGTTTACATCCTGTGTGATTACAATTCATAATTGGGAAAGCAGTCAAAACTAAATGCATTCTGATCAATGGTTCCCAATCTGCAAATAGACCCAACACAACACATTGCAGTGAGTGACTTAAAAGCGGGACTTCTGCGTCTAGAGTTCCAACTAGACTTGGGAAAGACGGTGGAGGGATTCCAGCACTGAAGTGCTTTAACTTAGGTGTAAGATTTTCTGTATAAGTGATTGTTTTTTCTGGGCAGAGGGTCTATTATACTCTCTCTCTCTTTTTTAATTTGTAAAAGGCCTGAAAATATAAGGATAACTGCACTAAAACCTCAGGTTAAGATTTACCCTAATTATGGAAGTTTTTTTTTTTTTAAATAATAAACTGTTGAAAGGGGATGAATGAAAATAACACGTTGGTACTTGAAAGCACGTATTTTCCAGCAATTGGCTCTTTTTTCATCTCTTACTGACCTTATCTCTCCTGAGCTGCTAAGGGCATCTATATTCTCTTTCGTAGATATATATTTTAACATGTTCATGTTTGTTCTGGAAGCCACATGAAGTAAAAGTGAAAATAACCTAGGTCAGGAGTGTAGTGTGAGTGACAAATGATGAAAATGTCTCGGCAACTCTGCTATATTTCTCATGGCAGCATGTAGTATCAATGGACACTCACTTCCTCTGGGTCCCTGGGTCAACCTTCCTTTAAACTTTGAAGAATATTGGTTCCAATAAAGAGTCCCAAATAAAGCTCTTGGGAGAATCTGAGTAATATAAATATCAGCATTAATATGTTGATAATAAAAGCCTCATACCTCATAATCAGTTCCAATTAAATGGTAACTAAATCCTGGCAATTGGATATATATCATTTTTCATTCAATCTGAATATGTACATATTTCTATGTAAATTCTCACTTTAATGCACACAACATATTTTCATTTACAATCACATACCTGTACTATTAAGTGTGGGCTACCTCTAATCAAAGGCAGATATCACTAGGTTGATTTGAGACTTGTCTATTCGAAGATGTTGCCACTGAGACTTAAATCCCTCCGCATTAGTCAGTTTCTGTCACCTGAAATATGAACACACTCTGAAAAAGTCAGAAATAATGTGGGTTCTGATGCTGTTCTCAGGGTTGTGAGAAACACAACCACTCTGACTTCTCTGTTGCAGACATTTTACTAGAAAGGGCTCAAACTTGTACACACTTGTACATTTAAAAAAAATAAAATATGTGTGACACTGGAACACACTCAGGTTGAATGGCACAAACTTATTTTCCTTTTGGCTGGTTTGTTTCATTTTTATGGTGACTCTCGCTACAAGCATCAGATAGGAGCAAAGGTCTTTCTAATTGTCTGTATGGTTCCCTGAGTTGTGAGCACTATTCTCTCTGTTCTGTTTGGGGGCCCTGATTTACATTCCCACCCTGTGCCCTAGACCTGTGCTATTCAAATCGGGAGCTACTAGGCACCTATGGCTTTTGAGCACTTGAATGTGGTTAGTCCAAACTAACATGTCCTGTGAATATAAGATACTCACCGGATTTCAAAGGGTACAAAACAAGTGAGAAAAGAATGTGAATTATCTCTTTAATCATTTTCCTATTGATTACATGTTGGAATGATAATATTTTGGACACACTGTGTTAAATAAAATATATTATTAGAATTGATTTTAACTGTTTCTTTTTCCTTTCTAACGTGGCTACCAGAGACACTTTAATCACATAAATGGCTCACATTATATTTTTATTGGACAGCTCTGCTCCAACCACCTAATTTCCCCATCTCTAAAATAGGGCTAATATTATTCACTCTCCAGAGTTAATGTGAAAATCTAAGTGAGCTAATGAACGTGAAATTATTGGCAAATTGTAAAGTGTAGGAAGTGTCTTAAGAGTGTTGATGACCATGATGGTGATAATCATGATATTTTCAAGCTGTAGTTCCACCTTTCTAGATTTCTCTGGAAATTTTCAGCCAGAGGTCTCACCAAAACTTTCTCTAAAAGTGCTCCAGGTCAATGAATGCAAGGTTTTAAAAGTTTTGAATGTGACATATGACCTGAACAAGAAGCTTACATTTGTAACAATATCAACAAAGAGAATACTAATGGTGGTAAAAAATCATAGTAATAGCAACCACACAGCTAATCTTTGATGAAAGCCTTGAGCCAGGAACTGTGTTAAGTATTTTCACCATCTTTATTCTAAATAATTCACTGCGTTTCTGTTAGTGCCGTTTACGAGCATATTGCTGACTCATTTTCTTTCTGCACACTTAATTGTTTCTAAGTTCTGTATGTAGACAATGAATGAAAGATGGCAAATTGTGACTTAGCAACAGCAACTCAGGGGACAAAGGCAAAATGTGAGTCGACAATATGTGCATAAACTTGCATAACAGTTCTCGCATCGTAATGTGCACGGTGTTAGGATTTCTATATAGGCATTCTTCATTTTACTGCACTTCACTCTATTGCTCTTTGCAGATAGTGAATTTTTTACAGACTGGAGGTTTATGGCAACCCTGAGTCAAGCAAGTCCATCAATGCTGTTTTTCCAACAGCGTTTGCTCACTTCGTGTCTCTGTATCCAATGTCGGTAATTCTTGAAATATTTCACATTTTTTCATTATGATTATATGTGTTATGGTGATCTGTGATCAGTGATCTTTGATGTTACTATTTCAGAAAAATTACAACTCACAGAAGGCTCAGATGATCGTTAGTGTATTTTAGCAATAAAATATTTTTAATTAAGGTATGTACATTGTTTTTTTAGATGTAATGCTATTGCACACTTAATAGACTACAGTGTAGTATAAACATAACTTTTATATGAACTGGGAAACCAAAAAATTTGTGTGACACTTTATTGTGATATTCGCTTTATTGTGATGGTCTGGAACCAAACCCGCAAGATCCCCAAGGTATGCCTTATAGTTAGATTCAAGTGTTGACCCTCTCGTTAATTTAAATTCTGTCTGCTTAAAGGATGGTTTTCATGAGAGAACACTTTTGTT